GCCAATCCATTTGTTTCAAGGTCACCATTATGGAAACAAGGATTTTTTCAATTCCAGGTTTTTTATTATTATTATTCCAAATGTATTTGTATGAATTGAGACTCCACCAGCTACAGTGGTAGGATTTGAACCTGTGCCCTGAATCATTAATCTGGCCCTTTTGATTACTAGTCCAGCAACATTACTGTCACCATCCTCTAAAGGGAAACTGAGGGTGGACATCAAATATTGGCCTTGTCAAGGATGCTCACATCCCAGAATAGAATAAAACAGAGCACTTGAACTTGGTATGAACATTAAAAGTCTTGAGATGCTCATAAAACTGTCAAAATAAATAACCAGTCATCAAAACTTCTTCATCAAAAAATAATTCGACTAAGTGGTCATAAAACTCTCCAGCTAAGCAAATTGTCATTCAAAGGCCACTTTAAAACCATTGTCCTATTAACTAGAGGTGAAACTGCTAAAATAAACAGACCTTCAACAATCACATCTAGTGGTAAATATACTAAAGTCCTTGATGTAAGAGCTAAACCAGATGTTCAAGCATTGAAGCAGGGCAGCAGATGCCTGAGCTCTCAATCACTGAAAACATCAAATCAGTGTGGATAACTGACATAGTCCAGTTTACATATCAATATTGTTCAATGCAGAGGAGTACTTTAGCCAGTAGATAAAGGAAAGTGACTAATACATCGACCGATAATGTGTAAGCGGACAAGCTTTCAATGCATGAGACAAAGTGACACTAATGCATTTAAAGGCTTTTCCACTTACACAATGCTGGTCAATGTATTAGTCACTTTACTTTTAAAGACAATCACTGCATTGAAAGCATATTTAACTTTTCATTCAACACTACATTTTGGCATGTTAAATTGCCAACACCCTTTGAACTTCCAGTGAAACGTTTGCCAACAGCAGGTCTGAGGGTCCGCATGGTTCATCACATCTTGGAACTGTGTGAACTACATCACTTTCAGAAGTGAGCCCAACTCCATCAGAATTGCAGAAGATCTGAAATGCATGTCACCACTGTAGAGTTGGGAATGTTAGGTGCAGACACATTAAATGCACCATTGAAGAAAAATCAGAGTTAACGTTTTGGGTCCGGTGACCCTTCCTCAGTTCTGACCTGGATCCAAAACGTTAACTCTGATTTTTTTCTTCACAGATGCTGCCAGACCTGCTGAGCTTTTCCAGCAACTTCTGTTTGTGTTCCTGATTTACAGCTACAGATCCACAGTTCTTTCGGTTTTTATTTAACTGCACCATTTCCTGTGCCGCCAAAAGTTGTCGGCAATGGAAGAGGGGATAGGAATCCTGGAGTGGATTCCTCACTCCTCCTTCAGTTGTTAGTGAGAGAGGTGGTATCAGACATAGAATTTATAAGTAAAAGATCAAAGGTTCACACCATTAATGAGGATGTGCTAAACAAACCTAAGATGCTGTTAAATCTTTAATCAGTGAGAAGGTTTTATTTGATTAATATGTATATGTGTGTGTGGTGTGTGGGAGAGAGAGTGTGTGTGTGTGTTTGTGGAGGGAGAGAGTGTGTGTGTGTGAGGGGGGAGAGCCTATGTGTGTGTGTGTGTGTGTGTGTGTGTGTGTGTGTGTGTGTGTGGTGGGGGGGCATTGGTGGTGCAGCAGCAGGGGGGGGGGAGAGCACACACATGTGAATCTATGGGGTGAATTTGTATTTGCAAAGTGCACAATTTATAGACAGTCAGTCAGTATAGCATTTTATAAATTCCTACCTTAGAAATAAAACCAGTCTGACTCCAAACTAAAACACAAACAGATTCTAAACAAGATCTCACACCTAACATGCATTGTCTGACCTAAAATGTCACCTCTTCTTTACACTGATAAAACCATTAGGTCTCTCAGAACTGTGACTTGAAAGGAATTTTGGGATTTACATGTACATATTATCAATTAAAACCTTCTAATTGATTAAAGAATTAACAGCATCTTAGGTTTAGGTTAGTAATCTTCATCAATGATGTGAACGTTTGATCTTTTACTTATAAATTCTGTGTCTGATATTACCTCTTTCACTAACACCTGAAGAAGGACAGATGCTCCGAAAGCTTGTGTTTTCAAATAAACCTTTTGGACTATAACCTGGTGTCGTGTGATTCCTGACCTTGTCCACCACAGTCCAACACCGGCACCTTCACATCCTGGGAAAAAGACGGAGTGCATTCACCCTATCCATATCTCTCATGATCTTATACACTTCTATAAGATACCCCCCTCAGTCTCCTATGCTCTAAAGAAAATGTCCTAGCTTATCCAACCTCTCCCTATAACTCAGTCCCTTGAGTCCTGGCAACATCCCTGTAAGTCTCCTCTGCACTCTTTCCAGTTGAATAACATCCTTCCTATAGGAAGATGACCAAAACTGAGTACAATATTCCAAGTGCGGCCTCACCAACGTCCTATTATAACTGTAACATAACTTCCCAACTTCTCTATTCAATGTCCTGACTGATGAAGGCCAGTGTGCCAAAAGCCTTCTTCACTGCCCTGTCTACCTGTGACTCCACTTTCAGAGAATCGTACACCTGAACTCCAAGGTCCCTCAGTTCTACTACACTCCCTAAGGCCCTACCATTCACCATGGAACTCCTACCTTGCTTTGACTTTCCAAAATGCAACACCTCATATTTGCCTATATTAAACTCCATTTGCCATTTCTTGGCCCACTTCCCCAGCTGATCAAGATCCTGCTGCAATTTCTGATAACCTTCCTCACTGTCCATGGTAATGCCTATTTTAGTGTCATCTGCAAACTTGCTAATCATGCTTTGTACATTCTCATCTAAATCATTGATGTAGATAACAAACAGCAATGGGCTCAGCATTGACCCCTGAGGCACACCACGAGTCACAGGCCTCCAGTCCGACAAGCATCCTTCAACTATTACTCTCTGCTTCCTACCATCAAGCCAATTGTGTATCCAATCTGCCGGCTCTCCCTGGATTCCATGTGATCTGAACTTCCAGAGCAGCCTATCATGTGGAACCTTTACAAGGGCCTTACTGAAATCCATTTAGATTACATCTACCGCCCTGCCTTCATCAACCTTCCTGGTCACTTCTTTTTAATTTTCCTAACATAAACTGGGACTGCCATAGCATTAAGGGCTTAGATGGGTGGAATTTGTCAACTATGTTCAGGAAAGTTTTCTCAAGTAGTATACAGAGGGTCCTACTTGGGAAGGGCCAAAATTTAACCTACTCTTAGGAACTAGGGCAGGACAGGTGACTGAGGTGACAGTGGGAGAGCACTTTGGGACCAGTGACCATAGTTCTGTTAATTTTAAAATAGTTATGGAGAGAGACAAAACAGGTTCAAGTTCCAAATTGGGGCAAGGCGAATTTTGATGGAATTAGACAGGAACTTGCAGGGGTTGGATTGGTGTAGTTTGTTAGCAAGCAAAGGGTCCTCTGGCAAGTGGGAGGCCTTTAAAAGTGTGATAGCTAGAGTTCAAAGTCTATATGTTCCTGTGAGGGTGAAGGGCAAGGTTGGCAGGAGTAGGGAACCCTGGATGACAAGAGATATTAAGGCTTTGACCAGAAAAATGAAAGAGGCATGGCTCAGGAGCAGGCAGCTGGAATCAAGGGAATCCCTGGAGGTATGGAGCTTACTGAAGGAGGAAATCAGGAGGTGTCAAAGGGGCACAAGATAGCTTTGGCTGAGAAGATTATGGTAATCCCAAGAGATTCTTTAAGTAAATTAAAAGAGAGGCTGAATAGGCTGGGGCTATTTTTCCTGGAGCATCGGAGGCTGAGGGGTCACTTTATAGAGGTTTATAAAATAATGTGGGACATGGATAGAGTGAATAGTCAAGGCCTTTTCCCCAGGGTAGGGGAGCCCAAAAGTAGAGGGTATAGATTGAAGGTGAGAGGGGAAAGATTTAAAAGGGGCCTAAGGGGCAACTTTTTCACACAGAGGCTGGTGCGTGTATCGAATGAGCTGCCACAGGAGGTGGTGAAGGCTGGTACTATTACAAAATTTAAAAGGCATCTGGATGAGTATATGAATAGGAAGGGTTTGGAGGGATATGGGCCGAATGGGACTAGATTTATTTAGCATACCTGTTTTGTATGGACGAGTTGGACTGAAGGGTCTGTTTCCATGTTATACATTTCTATGACTCTAATGAACCAGATGGAATTTTACAACAATTGACAATGGTTGGATGGTTGCTATATTAGAATTTGCATCAGATTTTGCCACCAGTCATAGTGGGATTTGAACCCATATCCTCAGAACATCAATCTGGGGTTCTGGGCAACTACTCCAGTGGCATTACCACTGCACCACTACCTCCTTCAAATTAAGAGATGGAGGATGGTGTGGGAATGTGAAGCTGATTGAGTCATAAAGTCATACAGGACAGAAACAGACCCTTCGGTCCAACCAGTCCATGCCAACCACAATCCCAAACTAAACTAGTCCCACCTGCCTGGGCTTGGCCCATACACCTCCAAACATTTCTTATTTATGTACTTATCTAAATGTCTTTTAAACATTGCAACTGTTTCGTCATCCACCACTTCCTCTGGCAGTTTATTTCACACACGAACCACTCTCTATCATTTTAAAATGTTTCTCCTTTTACCTTAAAAATATGACCCTAGTCTTGAAATCCCTCACCCCAAGGAAAAGACACCTGCCATTCACCTTCTCTACACCTCTCATGATTTTATAAACCTCCAAAAGGTCACCCCTCAACCTCCTATGCTCCAGTGAAAAGGTCCCAGCCTCTCCTTGTAACTCAAACAATCCAAATTCAGAATTGGTCCCTGTAAACTCCGGATTCAGCACTGCTCCAGAATTATCCATGATGTAGAAGATCAGCCATGATCTTATTGAAAAGTAAATCAGCTTCAAGGAGCCAAATCCTCTATGTGTGCTACTAGTTCTTATGTTCTTCAGTTTGGCGGAGTTAACTGTCTATTGCTCTCTCTGTGTCTGCCCACTGCAGGTCATTCAGATAGCTCTCGGACCCAATCCTGCGGCTTGGCTTCTGGGTCATGTCCTGCTGTGTGCACTTGCAGCAACAGCATCGTTGACTGTCGAGGCAAAGGCCTGACTGCCATTCCTGCCAATCTCCCCGAGACCATCACTGAAATGTAAGTGCCAACAAGTACGTGGAAAGATCCAGACTTCCCCCGATATCCTGTCCCTCAACACTTTCGAAACATCGTGCCTGCGATTATGTCCTGAAGCCAACATTTATCCCTCAACCAACGTCATTAATCAAAAAGGGAACAAATTACAGGCCATTGAATGTATATGTGGGATCTTGCTGTCCTCAGGTTAGATGCTGTCATTTTCTGTTTAACAGTTGCCTCTACATTTCAAGAACACTTAATAGGCTGTGGGATTAGTGGATATTCCGAGGACCTTGTTAAAATGCAAGTCTTCCTTATTATCATTTACATAACTCTACCTGATCAACTTTACTCAGTCGGGTGAATTGACTGTCAAATCCAACAGAGTGCTCTGATCCAATCCACAATGAACCACTGGCTGTGCAGAGCAGCTTCCAACACCTTTGAGTTGATGGGTTTGAATCAACACATCAGAGCCTTGAGCACATTATCTTGGCTGGCATTCCCAGTGCAGTGCTGAGGGTGTGCTGCACTGTCAGAGGTATGAGCTTTCCGATTATGAATACAACATAGGACCCGTTTGCCCTCTTAGCTGGGGGTGGTTTAAAGATCCTATATCACTATTTTAAAGAGTTCTCTGCAGTATCCGGAACAACATTCATCCCACAGCTGTAATAAACCAAATCATCATCACTTCGTAATGTCATACTTTATTGGTGAAGAAGCATTTCCGGTTGTTCTGAGGCTATGAAAGGTGCAAATGCAAATCTCTTGTTTTTTTTTCTTGTCATAGTTACATGTGTTCTGTTGGCCTCGGTGCAATACTCAGGGTGGGAAGGGGGAGGCCAGCAAACAAACCTCATACGGAGTGGGTTACCCTCCCTAATCACTGGGTGAGAGTATGAGTCTGTGGGAGTTAGCAGAGAGCAGAATCAGGCTGAAGCAAGGCCTTACAGAGACGAGTCAAGCACATGTGTGTCATTATGTTGTTGTAGAGTCAGAGAGTCATACAGCATGGAAACAGACCCTTGGGTCCAACTTGTCCATCCCAAACTAAACTGGTCCCACTCACCTGCATTTAGCCCATATCCCTCCAACCCTTTCCTATTCATGTATCTGTCCAAATGTTGTAACTATACCTGCATCTACCACTTCCTCTGGCATTTCATTCCACATACAAACTACCCTGTGTGTGGAAAAAGTTGCCCTTCATGTCCCTTTAAATCTTTCTCCTCTCACCTTAAAATATGCCCTCTTGTTTTGAACTCCCCCACCCTAGGGAAAAAAACCTTTGCTATTCAACTTATCAATGCCCCTCACGATTTTACATCTGTAAGGTCACCTCTCAACTTCCTATGCACCAGTGGAAAAAGTCCCAGCCTATCCAGCCTGTTTCTATAACCCAAACCCTCCATTCCTGGCAACATCCTCGTAAATCTTTTCTGAACCATCTCCAATTTAATAATATCCTTCTTCTAACTGGGCGACCAGAACTGCACACAGTACTCCAGAAAAGGCCTCACAATGTCCTATACAACCTTAACATGATATCCCAACTCCTTTACTCGAAGGTCTGAGCAATGAAGACAAGCGTGCCAAATGCCTTCTTAACCACCCTGTCTACCTGTGATGCAACTTTCAAAGAACTATATACCTGTACCCCTAGGTCTCTCTGTTTGACAACATTCCCCAGAGCCCTACAATTAATTGTATAAGTTCTGCCCTTGTTTGTTTTACCAAAATGCAATACCTCGCATTTATACAAACTAACTGCATCTGCCACTCCTCAACCCATTGTCCCAATTGATCAAGATCCCTTTGTAATCCTCGATAACCTTCTTCACTGTTGACTATACCACCAATTTTGTCGTCTTCCGCAAACTTACTAACCACATCTCCTAAATTCTTATCCAGATTTTTTGTATAAATTACAGACAAAAATTGACACAGCAGGATCCCTGCGGGCACCACTGGTCACAGGCCTCCAGCCTGAAAAACAAAAAGAAGTTATTACTTTCTTATCCATTTATGGGATATGGGCATCATTGGCTGGCCCAACATTTATTGCCCATCCCTAATTGCCCCGGAGAAGGTGATGGTGAGCTGCCTTCTTGAATCATTGCTGTTCTTGGACTATAAGAATGGGAGGGAATTCCTGGATTTTGATGTGACAGTGAAGGAACGGCAACATATTTCCAAGTCAGGGTGATCAGTGGTTTCGAGGGAAACGTGTAGATAGTGGTGTTCCCATGTATTTGCTACCCTTGTCCTTTTAGATGGAAATGGTCATGTCATAGAGTCGTAGAGATATACAACATGGAAACAGACCCTTCAATCCAACTTGTACACACCGACCAGATATCCTATATAAATTTAGGCCCATTTGCCAGCATTTGGCCCATATCCCTCTAAACCCTTCCTATTCCAATACCCATCCAAATGCATTTTAAATGTTGCTATTGTACCAGCCTTCACCACTTCCTCTGGCAGTTCGTTCCATACATGCACTGCCCTCTGCATGAAAATGTTGCCCCTTAGGTCCCTTTTATATCTTTTGCCTCTCACATTAAAACTAAGCCCTCTAGTTTTAGACTCCCCCACCCCAGGAGAAAGACCTTGACTATTTATCCTGTCCATGCCCCTCATGATTTTATAAATCTCTACAAGGTCACCCCTCAGCCTCCGATGCTCCAGGAAGAATAGCCCCAGCCTATCCAGCCTCTCCCATAGCTCAAACCTTCCAACCCTGGCAAAATCCTTGTAAGTCTTTTCTGAATCCTTTCAAGTTTAATAACATTCTTCATATAGCAGGGAGACCAGAACTGCACGCAATACTCCAAAAGTGACCAAACCAATGTCCTGTACAGCTGCAACATGACTTCCTAACCCCTATACTCAATGCACTGACCAATAAAGGCAAGCATATCAAATGCCTTCTTCACTATCCCATCTACCTGTGACTCCACTTCCAAGGAACTTTGAACCTGCGCTTCAAGGTCTCTTTGCTCAGCAACACACCCCAGGGCCTTACCATTAAGTGTATAAGTCCAGCCCTGATTTGCCTTTCCAAAAGGCAGCACCTCACATTAATCTAAATTAAGCTCCATCTGTCCCTCCTTGGCCCATTGGCCGCCTGATCAAGGTCCCAAGTATGTATTTTTTCATAGAATCTTCTAGAATGTGGAAACAGGCCATTTGGCTCAACAAGTCCAGAGAGCATCCCACCAAGACTTTATCCCCATAACCCTGCTAATCCACCTAATTAACACATTCCTGGACAGTGGTCAACTTAGCATAACCAATCCACCTAACCAGAGATAACAAGGTGTAGAGCTGGATGAACACAGCAGGCCAAGCAGCATCAGAGGAGCAGGAAAGCTGACGTATCGGGCCTAGACCCTTCTTCAGAAAATCAGTTTTTAATGTCCGATAAAGCCAAGTGGAATTGTGAGTTCAGGTTGTGGATCCTGCGAAGAATGAAAAATGGAGAATTCCTTTGCAGGCCTGGGAGAGGGAGGCTCTGAGCTGGGGTAGGCTTGATTATAGTGCCAGGAGATGCCGGCACATTGCTGCGAGTGTGTGTTTCAGGAGTCGCAGGGAGAAACGTTTTTGAAGGATCTCAATGTTCTGAATGTAGCGGTTGTCACGTTTGGGGCCAAATTGGGAAGGCCTAAATGTGGACTGTAGTCCATTGGGGATGATCCGGTTCTGTAGGTAGGTACTAAGAAAGGTGATGTGGCTGTAGTACCTGGTTTGCTTCAGGACGTGGTCGAGCAGTTTCAAGGCTGAAGAGATTACGAGAGAGTTGCAGTGGAGAGAGATCCACTAAGGTCTTTCCGGAGGGAGGAGGGTAACTCCTTCAAAGTAGGCATCCTTAGAAGAGGCTTCGCAGTGGGGTTAAAATTGTTTCAGAGATAGTAGAAACTGCAGATGCTGGAGAATCTGAGATAACAAGGTGTAGAGCTGGATGAACACAGCAGGCCAAGCAGCATCAGAGGAGCAGGAAGGCTGACGTTTCAGGCCTAGACCCTTCTTCAGAAAACCTAACCAGCACATCTTTGTATTGTGGGAAGAAACCAGAGCACCCAGAGGAAACCCACGCAGACACGAGGAGAATGTGCAAACTCCACACAGACAGTCACCCGAGGCTGGAATCAAACCCGGGTTCCTGGTATTGTGAGGCAGCAGTGCTAACCACTGAGCCACCGTGCTGCCCCAAATTTAGCCTTGAGAATCAGATTAAGAGAGTTTCTGTCATGTAAGAATCCTTTTTGCTACAATCTCTGTGGCACATCTATTTGTTTTTAAAAGAAAAATAATAATTAGGCTGGAACTCGATTAACATTTGCACAGCAAGTGTGGGTGGCATAAATAGGAGCTGCTTCATACCACCTAAGGAGCTCCAAGGACCCCTGTGGTTTGGCTCTGCAAATGCCTGCTGAGTTTGTTATATTTTTCTTTCCCTATGCATTGCAAAACTGTTGAGCAATGAGCCAGTTTCATCTTCCCTTAAAGAGGTAAAATGTACTCTTTACAAACAGCTCCTGAGCAAACACTCTGTGGTGCTCAGTTTTTAAAAATTCTCTCGTGGGATGTGGGTGCCATTAATAAGGCATTTGTTGGCCATCCTAATGGTCCTTAAATTGAGCATCTGAACTCAGCCATTTCAGACTGCAGTTAAAATTAGCCATATTGCTGTGGATCTCAAGTCACATGTAGGCCAGGTTTGAAAAAGATGGCAGATTTCCTTCTCTGTTGAACGAAATCAGTTTTTAATCATAGTTTTATGGCCACTATCACTGAGACTAGCTTACAGAATGTTTTTATTAGCTGAATTGAAATTCTACCAGCTGCTATGGTGGGATTTGAGCCACTGTTCCCAGGACATTAGCCTGCACTTCTTAGTTACAAACCCAGTGATATTATGACTGTTTAAACATACGAGTCTGTTTACTATCGATTCTCACTGCAATTGACTGGTTGGGCCTGGTCATGGACTCAGGAAAAGGTAGACAAAA